GGGGGGAGGGTTGGGGAAGAAGGGGGAACAGGTGTCAGGTGTTGGACTCAGGAGGCTGGTGTGAGAAGAAGAAGGGAAGGGTCATGGGGTGGGCAAGGGGTGGGCCAGGGGGAATGGTCTTGGGAGGATTTGGGGGACAGTAGTGGAAGGGGGGGTCACCCAGGAAGGACAGAGAGAAAGGGAGGAGCTTGGGAGTGCAGGAATGGGGAGGGATCCAGGACCCAGGGGCAGAGAACTCAGTCAGCCCCATCAGCTCCAGCCATTATTTGAGTTCAATGAATGGATTTTGGCATCAGAGGCAAGAGCAGCAGAGACCTCCACCCACCCACCCCCACTCCACCCTCCCTTCCATTCCCAAATCCTCCACACTCCCTCTGCCCCTCAATTCTCTGGGGGCCCATCTAGACCTGGGGGGGGCAAAGGGTGGAAGGGGACTGGGTGCAAGCAGGGGGAGGGATGAGGTGGGAGCAGGGAAGGGGGGGATGAGATGAAAATGGAGGATGAATTGGGGCAGATGGAGGGATGGAATGAGAAGAGCCACAGTCCCTCCTGGACTAGGAGCCTGGAAGCCTGGGTTCTCATCCCTGTCTGCTCTGTGGATGGGGTTGTTCATGGCCCCCCTGAACTTCTGTGAAACAAGGGACTTGAGACAAGGGTGTCCCTGCAGGCTCCCCAAGTCCCACGACAGCATCTTCCTAGGCTGCAGACAGGGACTCTTTGGGCTATATCTCTGTATCTCTAAAGAAGGCTCCACAGATGGTTGCTGACGGATTAAGTGATAGATAGGTCAAGCGCCTTCAGGCAGCTTCCTGTCACTTTGAAGATCAAATCCAGCCTCTCACAAAAACCCCTCATGATCCTCCCCCCCATACTCTGCCTGACACCCCCCTCCCCTCAGCTACTCAGTTTCAGCCACACTTCCCTCCTTGCTCTTCCTTTGACAAACCAAGCTCATCCCACCTCAGTATCACCTGGAACTTTGCACTTGCTGTTCCTTCTGCCCCACTGGCCCTTTTTACCGTTCAGGTTTCTGTGTTACCTCCTCAAAAAGGCCTTTGCAGAACCCCCTCATCTGAAGTGGCCAGAGTAAGCATCTTGTTCGTTTGTTTGATTTTCTGCTTCCTCTGATCAGGAGGTGGCAAACTTTTCCTGCAAAGGGCTAATTCCTAAATATTTTCAGCTCTGTGGGCCACACGTTCTCCGTGGCAACTCTTCCACTCTACTGTTGTAGCACGACAGTGGCTGTGTTCCAATAAAGCTTTATTTACAAAACAGCTTGCTGGCAGACCTGGCCCATGGGCTGAAGTGTGTTAACCCGTGCTGAAACGTGTACGCTCTGTGATGGCAGATTCTTGCTTTGGGCACTGCCAAATCTCCAGTGCCTGGAACTGTGCCCTCAGTAATTAGCTGCTCAATGGATGGATAGATGGATGGATGGAGGGAGGGAAGCAAGCTCTATGTGTTAAGTTAGGGTTGCTATGAAGATTGCAGAATATGTGTTCACTTCCTGGCATGAGATAAATGCTAGACTGTGTTTGCTGAAAGATTCATCTACTACCTCGCCACTCTGTCCCCCACGTCTCCTCACTGCCAGTCCCCCAGCCTTGTCCCTCCCGAGCCCACCCGGATCCCTGACTCCCTCTACCTTGTCCCTTCCTCTCCATCCCTGTGCACAACCCTGAGCTGGGCCCAGGTGGCATCCTCCCCCTGGACCTTCATCCCAGCCTGTGACCTCCAGCCTCCTGACCTCCAATCCATCCGCACACAGCCCAGGAGCTGACCTGCGCTCCCTGGGGCCCTAAACAAGGTCCTGGCCCTTCAGCCCAGCCCGGCTTTCCTGCCTGTCTGCCTGCCAGTCCCCAGTCTCCTCAGCTTTGCTTGTGCTGGTCCCTCTGGCCGCTACCCTCTAATGGGATCACTTCTTCACTTGAGGTCAGGCTAACTCCAGACATCAGTTCCTTCAGGAAGCCTTCCCCGTCACTTCCCTCCTACCCGGGGGAGTTTCAAGTGTTCCTCATACTGCGCATCCCTGTGCTACCTCCACTTCCAGAGATCACCTCAAATAGGGACTTTCTAGGTCGGTGTCTGTCTCTCCCATCAAACTGGGAGCTCCTCTGGGGGCGGGGGGATGGTCTTCTGCCCTGCTGATTCCCTGTGCCTAGCACCGCTCCAGGAACGTGCGGGTACTCTGTAAGCGCTGGCCAGTTCACAAGCCACTGGGTGAGTGACTGAGTCTTCCTCACCCCGGCGTGCACCCAGAAGTGTCCTGGGTGTGCACCCTGTTTTCTTAATTGAATAATAATAATAATAATAATAAAACACCCAGGGGGAGGCAGGGAGAGAGATGTGGATGGGGGTGAGGATGGGGGGTCAGTCGTGAGGGCAGGGAAGGGAGGTCAGGCACATGGTGGGGAGGGCTGGGTTAGTTCTGGGGGGTTAGTGAGGGGCAGGGCAAGTCCTGGGCAGGTGGGTATGGGGTCAGTGTCGTGGCTGCAGGTTAATTGGATGGAGCTGTTCAGTGAGGGGACGGGAGTCTCAGTCAGTGGGGGCTGCATGTTCTCAGAGGGGTTAGTCAGGAGGGAGGTGGGGATCAAAGAGTGGGGGCTACTTACCCCGGGGGGAGGGGATTCGTCCGCTAGGGGGATATCCAGGCTGCAGCGTTGGCGTTGAGGTCGGGCAAGAAGCTTGGGGGACCTGGCTTACGCCAGTCTGGGGGGGGCAGTGGGGGAGCACCAATGGCTGGGGGTGGGGGAAGAGGCCAGAGGGTCCAGGGTGTGGGGGGGAGATGGAGATGGAATAAAGACAGGTGACGGGTCAGTGGTGAGGAAATTTGGGTGGGGGGCTGGGAGGAAGGGAATTTGGGGCCAGGGGATGGGTGAAGGGAAGTCCAGCACCTCCTCCCCCATCTCCCTCTCCCCCCTCCCCTGAGGGAGGGAGAGAGAGAGAGGGAGGGTCCCAGGGGGCCGGTGGAGGGCACCTCACCTTTCCGGATGGAGCCATCAGGGGAAGGGGCATAGTCGGTGAGGAGGAAGCAGGCTCGGTCCCGGCTATAGCGTCCTCGGCTCCCGGGGGTGATGGGGCTCTTGTCTTCCGGGGACATGGCGGGCTGGTCGATGGCTGGGCAGTCCTCGTGGGCAAGCGCAGCTGCGGCAGGGTCCCCGTTGGGGCGTGGATCTGCACCAGGGGGTCAAACAGAGACACAAAGGAGGTGTGGGAACTCAAGATGGGGGTGAGATTAGCAAGGAGGGTGTTGGAGAATGTTGGGTGCTGGAAGTAGATGATTGAGGGGCAGGGGTTCTCGAGGAGGCGACAGGAGGGGTGCACAACTGGAAGAAGGGTGTCAGGGCGTGTGCCTGGTGGGTTGAGGGAGCAGGTCATTGGGGGAGGGTGTTGAGTACTGGGAAGGACAACAGGGAGAGGGAAGGGTGGTTAGGCGTGGGTGTGGAGGGAGGGCGTTGAGTGGTAGGAAGCGGTGGTCGGGCCAGGTGTTGGGTGCTGGGAAGGGCAGGACTGGGGTGGGGTGTTGGGCACTTGGAGGGTGGTTGGGAAGCGAGCTGGGTGCTGGGAAAGAGGCTGGGTTAGAGTGCTGGGTGGGCAGTTGGTTGAAGTGAACTAAGTAGGGCAGGACTAGGGTGCAGTGTTGGGTTGGTAGGGTGCATGGCTTGGGATGGGTTTGGAAGGATGGCTCGGGGATCTAGGGGGTTGGGAGGGAGTTGTTTAGGGAGGGTGTTGGGTGCTGGAAAGGGCACAGTGGGGAAGGGTTGGGAAGGTGACAGAGGAGGGAGGGGGAGGTGGGGGTCCCCCAGGCTCTGACTTAAGCTATTTTTAATTGGTGTGAAACTGGGTCAGTGGCTGAGGGAGCAAGATGAGGGCTGGGCGGCCCAGCTCCCTTTCTTGACCTACTTAAGTCACGGGGGTGGGGCCCACCAGCCTCTCCCTGCCCCGGACTGCCGCCCCCAGTCATCGCCTCAGAGACGCAGACTCTCTGGTGGGGGGGGGGGCGCAACACTCGGTCAACTTTCTTCTCCCTCATCTCCTTCGCTTCACCTCTTTATCTCGGCAGCCTCTCTGTGAGTCTCTCAGACCCCTCTCCGGCTGCTCTCAGAGCCAGAGATGGGGCCCTGGGACCCGAGTCATAGTCATGTGGCCGGTCGCCCTCTGGGCCTATCTTCCTGGCCTCTATCTGCCTTTGGGTCTTTAAGTCTTGTCTCCTCTCTTGGGATGCGAAGGATTCGGACAAAGCGGACAATCCGCAGGAGGCCCAGCACATCTTTAGCAGCCTTGGAGCTGAGGCCTGAGAGTCCCACCTCGAGATAGAAGGGCAAGATGGCCACACAGTTGAACCTGAACTCTCTGCCACTGACCGCCCCCCCCCCCCCACTGCTCCCTCCATCTGTCCTCTCTCTCCCGCTCGCAGGAACAATCGCTTGGTTTCTGACTGTCGCTTTTAGACGCTCTTCTCAGGGTCATGGCTGGAAGACTCAGAGACTGCAGCTGTCCCTTGGCCAGGTTTCCGGCCAGCCTGTGACTCCCCCTCGCCGGAGGCTGATTACTCTGCCTCCCTGGTCCCCTGGAATATCTTGGCTGTCCCCGGAATATCTGTCTCTCACCAAACTGTCTCTCACACAGAATCTGTTTCTGTGCCTTTTCACTGACCTCAGCAATAGCCGTTTGCTCTTCCCTCTCCCCTGTCGTGACCCCCCCCCATCTCTCTTAACCTCAGCAGTGACCTCCTGCCCCCTCAAAACCTCTCTGCCTCCTCCCACGGGTCTCTGCCTGTGCTCCCCCCACCCACCCCTCATGCACCCTTCTCACCTGCCCGGTTGATCTCAATGACTTCCTCCTGAGCCAATGGGCAAGGCTCCCCAGGGGCTGGCAGAGGAGGCAGCCCCATGATCCCGAGCCCACCCGCTCCCCCCCTGAGCAGCCCGGGGTGCGTGTGGGGGCCCGGTGGGTAGGCCCCAGCCACAGTCACCCCCACAGAAGGTGGGGTGATGGGGGGCGGGGGGCTGATGCCACCACTGCCGTGGTGGGGGTGGTGCGGGGGGGGCGGGGGAGGGTCGGGCTTGCAGTAGTTTGGAGAGCCAGGCTGTGGGGGGCGGGGGATATGTTTGTTCTTCTTCTTGGGCAGCTTCTGCTTGGCCATGGCCAGCGAATAGTACATGCCAAAGTTGTTGACAATGACGGGCACGGGCATGGCGATGGTGAGCACCCCCGCCAGGGCACACAGTGCCCCGACCAGCATCCCCGACCACGTCTTGGGGTACATGTCTCCGTAGCCCAGGGTCGTCATGGTGACCACGGCCCACCAGAAGCCGATGGGGATGTTCTTGAAGTAGGTGTGGTTGGAGCCCAGGATGTCATCAGGGTCAGCGCCGATGCGCTCCGCGTAGTAGATCATGGTAGCGAAGATGAGCACGCCCAGTGCCAGGAAGATGATGAGCAGCAGGAACTCGTTGGTGCTGGCACGGAGTGTGTGGCCCAGCACGCGCAGTCCCACAAAATGGCGCGTGAGCTTGAAGATGCGAAGGATTCGGACAAAGCGGACAACCCGCAGGAAGCCCAGCACGTCTTTAGCAGCCTTGGAGCTGAGGCCTGAGAGTCCCACCTCGAGATAGAAGGGCAAGATGGCCACACAGTCGATGATGTTGAGGCTGCTCTTGAGAAATTCCACCTTGTCGGGGCAGAAGGTGATGCGCATGAGGAACTCGAAGGTGAACCAGACCACACACACGCCCTCCACATAGGTCAGGAAGGGCTCCGTCTCCACCTCCACATTGGTGATGTTCTCTGGTGGAGCCCCGGGGATCGGGGAGGCCTGTGTCACCGTCTTGTTGCTGATGTGGATGAAGCCTTCATGGGTCTCCAGGCAGAAGGTGGTTATGGAGATGAGGATGAAGAAGAGGGAGGCGAAGGCTACATACTGTGAGGCAGGGTAGGAGAGAGAGGGCAAAAGGTGACCCAGGCATCTGGTCAACCAGCCATATCCACAAGACCCTCCCAGTGGCCCCTCTTCCCAGCCCCCCAAGCCCCGAGAAACCCCAGGCCTCCATCACAGCCTGCATCCTGCTGTCCCCTCTAACGCTGAAAAAAGGGAGGGAAAGGAGGAGGCAGCTCTCCCCAGCTTGGGATAGGAGCTGGCTCCAGCAGTGGAAACAGATGGGCAACTGTTTTCATGGAAACAGCAATTTCTGGTCCTTTACTCTGTCACCCAGACCACTTCCCCATACCCTGTGTCCCATCTCAGGACTCCCCAGCAGGGTCCAAGGATTCGGGGGGGGGAGGGATGGGGTGGGGTGGGGTGGGATGAGACCAAGATCACTCACCCTCTGTGTATCAGAGGCTTTGGAGCTCGGCTTGGAGCCAAGGGAAGGAGAAGGGGAAAAGGTGGGTAGGGAGGCAGAATCCCCGATATGGTTAAGAAAACCTGGATTTGAATCCAGCTTTTCCTGTGCCTAATTTGGGCAAGGAGATTAAGCTTTCCACACCTCAATGTTTTTTTTGTTTTGTTTTGTTTTGTTTTTACCAGATTATTATGAGGATTATATGAGTATACAAAAGTCCTGGCTCCAGAAACAGTGCTTACTGAGTCTGGAACTCAGTAAGAAAGTCTGAGCTCCTATTAGGGTATGCGGGCATCAGTTAGTTGTGGGCAAGGTCGAGGCCTTCAGAGAGGAGCCAGGGTTTTAAGGACCCTGGTTCCAATGTCTGGCCTCAGAGAAGGGAGAAAGCTGGGTGTCACCCTCACCCAGAGAGGACAGTAAATGGCTGGAACCACAGAGGGGTATTAGGGCCATAAATAGGAAAAGAAGTGAAGGGTGAAGTCTGCAAAAATTGAAAAGAATAGAAGGAAGGAGGGTTAGGGTTTCAGGCTCTGGAGAGGAAGGGAGGGTGGGGGGCCTAAGCGTCAGGGGAGATGGTGGAGCTAGGGCCACAGAGGTGAGGAGGCTTTAGCCAAAAGTGCAGAGAAGGGGGTGGGGCACACATGGGTTATTTCAGGATGGGGAGGACCAGAGTCCTGCACGCAACGGTGTGGATTTTGAAGAAAACCTTGAGGAGCAGAGGGGGATGCAGTCAAGATCTTAGAGAAGGAAGGAGACAGAGCTGGCCCCTGGAGGTGACAGTGGGCTTTATCAAATATGCAGAGAGGAGAAGAAAAGAGTGGGGTTAGTGCCTTGCAGGAAGGAGATGGGTGTTAACGCAAAGAGGGGGCTTTAGTCAGTTGGGTAGAGGAGGAAGGACGGCCTGGGTAGCTTGAGTTTTAATCAGGGATGCAGAGAAAAGCGGGGGCCCAGGGTCCGACTGCAGACAGGACCCCAGACCTTGGGGTGGGCTGGGGGCCTGCACAGCCTCTCAGCCACTCTCCTTCCTCCACAGGGCTGGGGGGCGGGGTCTGGGCTTGGGAAGGCTCAACTTTAATCTGAAGCGCAGAGCAGAGAGGGCCCTGGACCTTGGGGTGGGCTGGGGTCAGCGCTGGCCCTCTCTTCCCCGTCCCCCTCCTCGTTTCTCCGCAGTGGTTTAATAAGAGGCCGGAGGCCGCCGCACAGCGCATGCCCGGTGCTCCGAGCCGGGTGCGCGGCGCAGGCTGCGGCACCGCAGTGGGGGCGGGCCGG